GTTCCGGCCACCCACCACTGGCTGCTGGGGGACTAGGGCAGTGATGCCCTGGTTGTGCTTGTTATTGTAGGGTCTCCCAGGAGTCGGTGTATGGGGTATAGGTGGGTTGGGAGAGCGTGGGGTCATGTTTGTTATTGTAGGGTCTCCTGGGCTTGTGAGCTGCCTGGCTGTAGGGTTTTCTGGAAGTTTGGAGTCATGTGCATTTGTTACTGTGGGGTCTCTGGAGGTGATGGGGTGGGGGGCACATGTTTGTTATTGTGGGGTCCCAGGAGCAGCGGGGCAGTGCGGGGTGCTCCTTGCAGGGCTGAGCCCCATACCCTAAGCCCAGGAGCTGCTGATGGAGCCAAGCCCGGCTCCTGGCCGTGGGCCCTGAGTCCCCCAGGACTCTCGCGCCACCCCTCGAGGCCAGTGGCCCCACATGGGATGACCCGCTCATCCCAGTGCGTGCCGCATGTGGGGAGGGCAGGGGCTCACCTGGGCGAAGGCGATGAAGAAGAGCTGGTCGTGGGTGTATTTCAGGTGGTGCAAGGGGTGCTCGGGGCCGTGCTCCCGCACCCACTTCTGGTAAGCCTGGCGAACAAGCGGTGCCCTCAGCACGACCTGGGCGCCCACCGAACCCACCCCCAGAGCCCCCCAGCAGGATCAGGCCCACTCCCTGCTGCAAGGAGCAAGGTGGGTCCAGGGGTCCAACTGCCTGCATGGTGGGGATGGCATCAGCAGCTGCCCCATGGCCCTGCCGAGGCTGTGACACCCCAGGGTGGGGGACACTTACATAGTAGGCGAGCTTGAGCCCCCCCATGTCAGCGATGTTCTCCCCCAGCGTGTGTTTGCCATTCACCTGCCGAGAGATACGGAGTGAGTGGAGATGGACCCCTGAGGCAGGCACCCCCCCATCCCTACCCTGCCACTGAAGCCGTGCCTCAGTTTCCCCCACCCAGTGCCCTGAGGAATTGCCCAGCTGAGGTGTGATGAGCTGTCGGGTCTCAGGGCCGGGCAGGGCAGAGCCGCAGCAGCGGAGCAGCGGGGACCTCCCCACGGGGCCGTGAGTGCCAGGCCATTGCCCGGCGGGCGAGAGGGGTGGTCTCACCCGCTGGTTGTAGACGGTGAAGTTGTCGTAGAGGTTGACAATACACTGCGCCTTCTTCAGGAACTTGCTGTAGGACCGCTCCGTCCACCAGTGCACCAGGTTCCCGTGCCGGTCGTACTGTCCCCCTGCAGAAGCAACCGCCATCGGTGGTCCCGAGAGACCAGGGCGTCCTGCCTGCTGCCCCCAGCCCACCCCAGGCACGGGCTCGGGGGTTGCTCACCCCAGTCGTCGTAGCCGTGGGTCAGCTCGTGCCCGATGATGGTGCCGATCCCGGCATAGTTCAGGGACCTGTT